ACAAGCGGCAAAAACAGAAGACAGCCTACAGATTAGGTAACAGTACTATAACAAGTGAAATTTGCTGACTGATAACCATACTGTTTTTTTCCTCAGCAAATCTCTTTTTCAGAATATACTGTTTCTATGTAAAAGAGTGTCCCCATTCTTGGGAGAAGCCAATTGACATTAGCAAAGGGGTCTGATGTTTATAACTTGCAACTAATTTAGGGGGAAAATATATAATTTAGAGGGGAAAATATACATATATATATATAAAGAGAGAGAGAGGAAGAGGGGGTAGGGAGGGGGTATTGATAAAAACAAATATGGCAAAATGTTAACAATTGGTTTACACAGGATTTCTTTGTCCTATTTTTATAACTTTTCTGTACATTTGAGAATATTTCCAAACAAAAAGTTTTTGTTTTTTTTTAGAAAAGACCATTGTACAAAGTAGGATGCTGCTTTGCTAGTTGTGTTGCTGTTTGTACCTGATGAGGTGACAGGTAATGAGGAATACAGACTTTCTCAGTAACACTAGTCACATAAAGGACACAGCGTGGCAGGACACACATATGTCCACAGAGAACATTCATCTAAATTTCAATGCAGCCACAGTTGTCTGCAAAGGACACTCCCAGCAGCAAAGAAGATGATGGAATAAGTAAAGCAAGCCACAGAGAGACACCAACTCACAGCTCTTCTAACCAAAGAGCAACAGGTATGTACAGAATCAGAACACACTAAAGAGCCAGGCTCTGTTTTTTCTTCCAACACACAGGGCTTCTGAATTTCAAATCACACCAAAGTGATTCTGAACAAAGAGGAAGCTCTGGTGATTCAGAAGACATTTGAGTGAGTATCTTGCAGATCTTCAGAGGCATCACTATGAATGTCTTTATCACAGGTGCATCAGTGTGCAGACATGCCAATTAAGTAGACGATTACGCTCTCCTTTCCCCCCAAGAGAACACATTGCAATTACAGTAAAACGGGAGAAAACAGCCCACTTCTGATGGCTTCAGGTAACACTAAAGTGTACCATCCAGCTTAACTGAGTGACAACTTTAGACAGAGAAATAAACACAGAATTTCCATAGAGTCAGAGATAGCCTCTGTTTCTCCATCTTGTACTGCAACAGGTAACAATGTGGCTGGAAGTTGAGCAGATTGGGAGGATTCTGAGTGGGCAAAGGTCAAGGGGCGTCTTCGCACAGAGAGAAATCCTCTCCAGACACCCTCCAGAAGAGAACTGAGTTGACCCTGCTGAATAGCTCAGTGTCCCCCTGCCTGAAGGAAGATGCTGTTTTCTTCACTCATTCCTCCCACAAGCATATGCTGCACATTTGCAGCGCACGCTGACAGTGCGATGCAGTGGTTAGAGCTCTGGCTCTTAATGTAGTGCAGTAGTTAGGAATCAGCTAGACCTGGGTGTGAAACACAACTCCATCATTTATGAGCTCTCATCCTGGGCAACTTGCTCCTCTCTGAGGTTCTGTTGCCTTAAGTATGTAGAAGGGATAATAACTCCAACTTACCAGGGTTTATAAGAAGGCTTAAAGACACAAAGCAAGCTTCTTAGCCAAGCACTTAATAAAAGTGTCAATTATTACTATTATTGTGGCAAAACGGGGCACAAGGAGTTGCACTCACAGGAGAGAGAAAAAATACAGGAAAAAAAATGGGGCTAGGATAACATGAGATATTGTCTGACACATCAGTTCTCAAATGATGTTGCATATTAAAATCACCTTCTTACACTTACATTTATAGCTTTTAAAAGTCCCAATGCCTAGACTACACCCCAGGCCAATAATCTCACACTCTCCTGGGACGGCATTTAGAAATCAGTGTACAGTGCATTTCAAATCTCCATGGGTGAGTCATTGTGCCGCCATATTTAAGAGCCAAGGATAGGACATAGTCAAGGCTCTATGAAGGTTTGAAAGAAGAGGGATCCAGTCCTTGCTAGAGGGCATAAGAGGAAGTAAGAGTTTGTGGGAAAGATGCCATTTGAAAGCTAGCTACAGAGGGAGCAAAGCAGAGGATATGTCCAGTAAACACAGAGAGTATGTCTAGTAAACACCAACTGCTCGGGTCTAGAGGGAGCGGGTAATACACACAGAGGGGCCTTGAAGCATTACAGGTTTTGAACCAGAGAAACATGAAATTAAGACCTAAGGTGGAAAAAAAAAAGACACAAACAAACATGTCTTTGACAACAAGAGTTCAAACAAAAAGGATTTGATCCAAATAAAAATACCTCATTCCCTAAGTACTTCTGGTTTGTAAAAATTTGATTATATTTACAACTAAACTTGGGCTCTAGATGAACCATTCTTTAAAAATCACCTTCTCGGGCCGGGCGC